TACCAATGCCTTAGTGTAATTTTTCTATATTTAAATTATTTGTTACCTGAGCTAAATTAATCCTGTGTTAATACTGTACTTTTGTGTAAAGGAGTGGTGGACATGCAGCTGTTTTAGAAACCACAACATTCTGTCATATCAGATGTGGTCAGTGCTCTGGTTCTGAGAAAGAACTGCCTGGAGATGTTTCTGAAAATGTTACAGCTTTGTTTTCTATAGCAGAACTCTGAATATTGCCTCTGAGAGCATTGCCTGGGCTTGTATTTTTGGTTAACAGAACTTTAATAGTGCCTGTGTTTGCTCCTCTGTGGAAATGTATCCCAGACAATGCCCACAATCTCCTCCAACTGGACATTATTTAGAGGGTTTTGGTATTTTGGTTTTTGTTTTGAAATAAATAGGCCTTAAATCCTCTCTCCTAAAGACCTTTGATCAGACTGAGTGGGTGTGGCCTTATATACGTGATACTGTATATGCTACCAACAGCAGATAGAGTTCTGCCTTAGAAGATCCCTAGTCTGGAGAAGAGGAGAGAGCACTGTACCTGCAGAGGAAAAGCAGGGAGACCCCTCTGGGGGCATCCATCTCCATGGGAGAAAAGAGAGATCCACACAACTTTGCACTTCCATCCCACACAAGACCAGCTTCTCTTGAGCAGTGGTGTTGGCAGCTGCATCTCTTCTCCTGGCTAGACCCAAAGTGGAGCTCACTGTATTACCAGGCCAAGGGCTGGGCACTTCAAGTGAAATTAGTTGCTGCTCCCTTGAGGATGCTGATGGGCTCCCTCCTCTTTGCCTCTTAACTAATTAGTTCCCCAAAAGTAGGCCTGCAATTTTTGTCCTGGATATTTTGGCTTTTACGCAAATATATACAATATGTCCTCTTGCTGAGCTTCAGTGCCCACGGTTGGAACGCTGAGGGCTGCATTGCATCTTGCCAGGATATATTTACATAGTTTACATGAAGAAATGCACTGAACCACAATATTTGCTTGTGCTTGTATCTTCCTTGACAGATTAATAGAAAATGCGGTTGGTTGAGTTCACCAGCAACAGAAATTTTCAGTTGCTCAACTTTTGTCCTGCTGCAGTTTTGGGGAGATGGTGTCTGTAAGGGGGCTACTTTTAAGGCTCTCCTGGGCTGCATCTTGTCCCTGATGTATAAACAAAACATGCAGTTGACTTGCGGGAAAGCTAGATATTGCATTTAGGGTTCAGTTCAAACAGTTCTGTCATTTCTGTCACAGAGGATTCAGTGAATCAGCCCTGAGCACAGCTTAAGATACGTACGTACCGGTAGTGTTTCCTGGGTCTGAATTCTTCATGAACTCATAGATACTGTTCCTGTTCTGCAGACATTTCTCAAAGCACCATACCATGTGAGCAGGTGAACCTGCTTTGCTGTGACTCACATGCCAGCTTTGTTGGCAGGTCTCTGACACGAAGACTGAAACTTTGTACATGGATTCAGCTATGGTCAGTTTCTGGAGATTTGGTTATTTTTTTCATATATGAAGCTGGCGGGGCTAAGCAGTTATTAATTATCTGTTATTTTGAAGTTCTTAGTCATTTTAGTTAGTGACTGTAAAGAAGGCTGAGGTTGAAACATTTTGTGGCTTGCTCTGCACAGCCCTTCCAAGGTAATAAAATGAGGCAGTATGTTTGCCAAGAGCTTATGGTGATCATGCTTGTTATAAATTTGCCTTTCTGTTTGCTAAACATTTTAAAGAGCCATATTTTGCCCTCAGATTTTAAACATAATTCCCGAGTGGTTTCAGTAAACATATCTCCTTTGGGCAGTGAGAGGAAACCTTAATTGTTAGTCAGCCTGATATTTGTAATCCCATAGGAAAAAGAACAAACCCATTTACACTAATCTGATTGCTGTCCACTTTCAAATATATGGCTCTGGCCCCTTTAAAAGTGTGATGAAGTACAGAATAATAGCAGAGTGGGAAAGCTGGAAGTAATGCAAAGTTCTTTCCCTTTTGACATAAAGAGCAAACAGAGAAAGGGGAGGAATTTGGGGTGAAAAAACCCAAGTAAAAGTCTTTGAACATGGAAGTGATTGATTGCAGGCTCCTTAACAGTTTTAATGTGACAGTGGGGGGAGGGATAGCTCAGTGGCTTGAGCATTGGCCTGCTAAACCCAGGGTTGTGCATTCAATCCTTGAGGGGACCACTTAGGGATCTGGGGCAAAATCAGTACTTGGTCCTGCTAGTGAAGGCAGGGGGCTGGACTCAATGACCTTTCAAGGTCCCTTCCAGTTCTAGGAGATAAGATATCTCCATTTATTTATTTATTTATTTATTTTATTTATTTATATCTAATATCTAGATCTCATGGTCATTGACACCTCAGAAATGCCTGGGATAGGTTAAAGTTTTCTTTAGCAGGTTCAAGACTTTGTACTCTGGTGTGAATAATTTACAGGTACAAACAATGAAACAACATCAAGTTTGTGTGGTGTGTGAGAGAAGCAAGTTTGGGTCTAAACTAGCTACACTGAGATACAGGCAAGAGGCTGGAAGAGCACTGATTCCTATGTATTTTAAACTGTAAAATGGTTGCTAAAGAAATCAGGAGACCCAGCTTGCCCTCAGGTAGAGTGACAATTGCTTCCAGATGGTTGCCCAGTGAATTACGGTATTCTCCCATTTATACAAAACCCTATTATTCAAATCTCTTCCTTGTCCTCCATCATGAGATACTTGAGATACATGCTGTCTGCAGCATGTATCTCATGCAGGGGGACAAAGGAGGGATTTGGATAATGCAGAGGTTTGGATAATAGAGCAGAGAGCACTGCTGCCAGCAGTGGAGGATGCCACCCTGCTGCTGAATGGCACCTGCGTGGCTGCAGGGCCGGTGACATCTGATCCCTGCAGGCACAAAGTACAGGGAAGGCTGTGGTCCTGGCAGGACAGAACAGAGTCCTGGCCAACTGTCTCTGCTCTGCCCTGTCAGGATTGCAGCCTTCCCCTGCACCTTGCGCCTGCGGGGATCGGGAGTCACTGGCCCTGCAGCAGCGTCAGAAGCCCTCTGCAATCCCACTGTCACAGGAGTGAGTGAGCAGGGTAGAACAGACATCCCCAGCCAGGACTGTGAGGAAGAGCCCCCTTCCATGGGGGAGGCCACCCTGCAGCTGAATGGCTCCTGCCATCTTGATTATCTGAACTTCCAATTATTCAAATGAAATCCATATCCCCCATGCTAGTTGGATAATCGGGAGTACACTGTGGTACAACATAAAACATGTTAGGAGTCTCGGGGGGGGGAGGGATAGCTCAGTGGTTTGAGCATTGGCCTGCTAAACCCAGGGTTGTGAGTTCAATCCTTGAGGGGGCCACTTAGGGATCTGGGGCAAAATCAGTACTTGGTCCTGCTAGTGAAGGCAGGGGGCTGGACTTGACTTGATGACCTTTCGGGGTCCCTTCCAGTTCTATGAGATAGGTTGTGACAATGCGGTTCTGGTGGAACCCAACTGAGAGTGCCAACTCAGGACAAATTGCTCGAACAGGGCAGTTACAGCTCAAGGCTGGGGTTTTTCCACCTCTAAGGCAAACCAAACCAGCCAGACTAAGAGGACTTCGGTCTCACCCCATTGGCTAACCGCAAGTCTCACAAGCAATCTCCTTAGACACTCCAGTTTCCCAGTATCACCACCAGTGCCACTCGTTATGGGGACAAATGGTTATGAAAACCAAGACCCCAGTAAAAGAAAAAAGGTTCTCCTGATCCCAAAGGACCAAGCCCCAGACCCAGGTCAATATACAAATCAGATCTTACCCACAAATCACGCTGTTGCCAATCCTTTAGAATCTAAAATCTAAAGGTTTATTCATAAAAGGAAAAAGATAGAGATGAGAGCTAGAATTGGTTCAATGGAATCAATTACATACAGTAATGGCAAAGTTCTTGGTTCAGGCTTGCAGCAGCAATAGAATAAACTGCAGGTTCAAATCAAGTCTCTGGAATACATCCCCCGCTGGGATGGGTCCTCAGTCCTTTGTTCAAAGCTTCAGCTTGTAGCAAAGTTCCTCCAGAGGTATGAAGCAGGATTGAAGACAAGATGGAGATGAGGCATCAGCCTTATATAGTCTTTTCCAGGTGTAAGAACACCTCTTTGTCCTTACTGTGGAAAATTACAGCAAAATGGAGTCTGGAGTCACATGGGCAAGTTCCTGCATACTTTGCTGAGTCTCAAGGCATATTTGCCTTCTCTCAATGGGCCCATTGTATAGCTGATGGTCCTTAATGGGCCATCAAGCAGGCTAGGCAGAGCTAACACCAGCTTGTCTGGGATGTCACCCAGCAGCATAGCATAAGTTTGAAATACAGACAGTATAGAGCCAATATTCATAACTTCAACTACCAAATTGATACACACATATAGACAGCCTAATCATAACCAGTAAACCATAACCTTGTCTTAGACACCCCATTTGACCCCCTTTATACAAGATTTGGGTGCCACTACAGGACCTTGGTTGCAACAATGATCTATATGGTCCCAGATTATATCAATAACATCACATAGGTATATCTTCATATTAAAAGGTTTCAGAGTAGCAGCCGTAATAAATTTGTTAGTCTCTAAGGTGCCACAAGTACTCCTGTTCTTTTTTCATATTAAAAGTTCCTCGTGGACAGGTTTCCACACTACAGAAAGAGCCCTCTCAGAGGGATAGAGGACTGACTAAATAAGAGTTTGAATTGTTCGTTCAGTTTAGAGGTGATACTGCCACAAGATCAAAGTTGAGGCATGGGAAAGCTTCACTGCTGCTGTCTGGGCTGGACCTGATGGGTGGATAAGCAGAACATCAGTCTCAAGGACTGTCAGGCAGATGCTGTTTACCAGCCCTGTGTTCACACACTTTTAAAATAAACAATTCAAATTAGCCCGTTATCGCTAAGAAAGAAAAATCTAATTTTCTGCCTAGGACACAGTTAAGTACCTGTAACACTGTCCCTCATTTTCTTCATCTTCTTCTATTAAGGTAACGATGCCTGTGGAAAGAATGCGGATGCGTCCATGGCTGGAAGACCAAATAAATTCAAACACAATACCAGGGTTAAAATGGCTAAATAAGGTAAGATTTGTATGTATTTGAAAACAGATCAACTGTAGCAGGGTCTGAGGTTTGGTTCCTTAGATCTAATTCTCATGGCTTCCTGTGAAACAAAGCAATGAGGGTAGACAGAGTTGAGCTGTTCTTGCTGAACCTGTTCTTCTGGCCCTGCATTCAGGATTTGAGGAGCTATTTTTGCTTATCAGATCAGTGACTCTTTTAAAAACCATTTTTCTTCCTCTGTCTTCTTTTGTGGGAGCAGGTGCTATGAAACTCCATTGCTTTACGCTGGGAACAAAGTGCAGAGCCAAGCAGCTGCAGTGGGACTTGAGCAGAATGTTCTTCTGAATTGTAACAGTCTACTCTGCATTAACCCCTGAGCTGATATGCTGATCCCTGCTTGGAGCATGGATACTTACTTGATTTCATTGCTACGGGCTGTATGGTAGAACCTAGAAGGGTAATGGGTGTCTTTTCCCATATAAGTCCCGATCAGCATTCCGTACTTACCCAGAACTCTCAGTGGGAGGTTAAGATGTTCAGAGAATATAGGATCAAGCATGAGAACATTGGAGAAATGGTTTTCTTGAGCTAATTTTAAAAAAGTTCAAAATAAATGTAAGGCCTAAACAAACCCAAGTAAAATCACATGTATTCTTACTATGGAAAATATTAATTTATCTCACATAAAAGCGCGAGTCAGTTTTTTTCAGCCATGGTGTGCTAATTTGTCATTTAAAGGCATGGAAAATACATGTTATTAAGGCATGTTCTGATGTATAGAAATGTAGGATTTGCCATTCAAGGTCAGACAGTGATCCAATTAGTTTGGAACTCTGTTTCCAGTAGTAACTTGTTGCTTATGTGATCTGCTTTTGAACTGATGTGTGATATTTAGCTTCTATTATTTTTATCATTGCTTGCATAACTGTAAAGGCTAGCGGTCACCAAATTATCAGGTACTTTTTAAAATTCATCCATAATATTTTGTCTCAATAGCCTCCTGCAGCATTGAATTTCACATGCTGTGACTTGATGTTGGGTAAATAAATATTTTCTTTTATCTGTCCCCAAATTAGCTTGAGAGTGCTAGTTCTTGTATTATGGGCCACAGTAAAAAGGAGGGACTGATCAGTTTTGAAAGTTCCCTTTGTAATTTGAATACTACATTCAGGTCCCTACTGAATCTTCTCCTTTGCTGTCTGTAGTCAGTCATATGTCACTTCTTCCATACCTAGGATCATCTTCATTGCCCATTTCTGGAAATGTTCATTCTCCGCTGAATCTTTCTTAAAGCAAGGCTGTCCATACAGGGCACAGTACTCCAGATGCAGGCATACCACTGTTCAGCGGCGTATTATCGCCTAGGCCAACAAGGCCTAGGCTAGGGTGGCAAATTTGCTCTTGCTCCCTCCCCAACTCCGCCCCTTCCCCAAATCCCCGGCCCGCCTCCTCCCCCAGGCGTGCCACGCTTCCCTCCTTCCACCTCCCTCCCAGGCTTGCCGCGCTGGGAGGGAGGGAGAAGCGAGTTGCAGTGCACTCGGAGGAGGCGGAGCAGAGGTGAGCTAGGGCCCACGGGCGCGGGGAGTGACGGGGGGCCGGGAACCGCTCCCCGGCCTGCCCCAGCTCACCTCTGCTCCACCACCGCCGCCATCCCCTGAGCGCGCCGCAACTCCCCTTCTCCCTCCTCCCTCCCAGGCTTGCCGCACGAAAGCGCTGGGAGGGAGGGAGGAGAAGCGAGTAGCGGCGCGTTCGGGGGATAGCGGAGGTGAGCTGGGGCTGGCGGGCACAGGGAGTAACTCTTCGGTGGGGGGGCAGGGAACCACTCCCTGCCCCAGCTCACCCCTGCTCCACTGCCGCCATCCCCCGAGCGTGCCACAACTCCTCTTCTCCCCCCCTCCCTCCCCGGCTTGCTGCGGGGGAGCAGAGGTGAGCTGGCGGGGGGGTGGGAGGGCGGCAATTTTTTGACGGCCTAGGGGCGGCAAATTTGTTAATCCGCCCCTGCCACTGTTCAACCCAGTGCTATTGTAGCATTTTCTATATTATGTTTCACACTCTTGTTTAATACACCAAAAAAACCTGTTTGCTCTGCACTGAGAAGACCTCTCTATTGAGCTAGTGGACTCCTTAGTGTGTTTGTTCAGACAATCCTGTGAATTCAGAGCCCATAAGCACATCAAGGTAGACTGTAAGGCACACTGTTGAGTTGTTTAATATTTGCAACTATTCTGCCTAGATCAAGGTGTTACAATGGTTATCTGCCCTTGCGCTTCTGGGCATAAGCAGGAGCCATAACGTATTTTTTGTTCCATTATATCATACTACACAACTGGGCAGGCCATGTCGTGCTAATAAAATATTTTGAATTTGGATTATTTTTTTAAAGCAGAAGGCATTGGCTGCTACCAGGAGCAGAATACCAGATTAAATGACGTACATCTTCAACGTTAAGTGCAAAGTGATGCACACTAGAGAAAATAATCCCAATTTTACATACACAATGTTGTGTTTAAATTAGCTGTTACTACTCGCTCAAGAAAGTAGTAGTTGGAGTCATAGTGGATAGTTCTCTGAATATATCTACTCAATGTGCAGCGGCAGTCAAAAAAGCCAACAATGTTAGGAACCTTTAGGAAAGGGATAGATAAAAAGACAGAAAATTTCATAATGCTACTACATAAATTCATGGTACGCTCAGACCTTGAATACTGCATTCAGTTCTAGTCACCACATCTCAAAAAAGATATATTAGAATTGGAAAAGGTACAGACAAGGGCAACGAAAATTATTAGGGGTATGGAACAGCTTCCATATAGGGAGAGATTAAAAAGACTGGGACTTCTCAGCTTGGAAAAGAGACAACTAAGGGGGATATGATAGAGGTCTATAAAATCATACATGGTATGGAGAAAGTGAATAGGAAAATATTATTTACTCCTTCACATAACACAAGACCTAAGGATCACCTGTTGAAATTAATAGGCAGCAGGTTTAAAACAAATAAAAGGAAGTACTTCTTCACATAACGCACAGTCAACCTGTGGAACTCATTGCCAGGGGATGTTGTGAAGGCCAAAAGTATAGCTGGGTTCAAAAAAGAATTGCTTAAGTTCATGGAGGATAGGTCCATCAATTGCGATTAGCCAAGATGATCAGGGATGTGACCCCATACTTCGGGTGTCCCTAAACTTCCAATTGTCAGAAGTTGGAACTGGACGACTGGGGATGGATCACTCGAAATTGCCCTGTTGTGCTCATTCCCTCTGAAGCACCTGGCACTGTCCACTGTCAGAAGACAGGATACTGGGCTAGATGGACCATTGGTCTGATCCAGTATGGCTGTTCTTACGGTCTTCTGGCATCTGATCTTGCCCCGAAAATTCACATATCTTCATAGTTGCCTCTTACAATGTGAAATGGCTTCCTGAATCCACTTCAAAGTGTTTCTAATTGCAACTGATCACTCCAACAATGAGTCATTAAACCAAAAGTAATTCCTATCATTAAGTGTAAATCCTGACCTTAAACAAGGCAGCACATGCAATCTGTGATACATAAGGCAAAGATTTTTGGCATGGGTATTTTGATTAGAAATAAAGGACAGGACACGGGCAATAAACAATAAGTCATGGAAGTCCCAGCTTCATGGCAGCGGGGCTGGAGTCCCAGCCCCACTGCCTGGGGCTGAATTACTGGAATTTTCAAGAAGTCAAAGAGGTCTCCTAAAATCACGGAATCTGTGACAGACTCGTAGCCTTAATGATACAGTATCATTTGCACCCACAGCTTTGTTTATAGACTAAACCAGGGGTCTCAAACTCAAATGACCACGAGGGCCATATGAGGACTAGTACATTGGCCCGAGGGCCGCATTACTGACACCTCCCTCCCGCTGCCCTCGGCCCCACCCCACTCCACCCTTTCCATGAGGCCCCGCCCCTGCCCCACCTCTTCCCACCCCTTCCCTGCCCCCGTTCCAATCTCTTCCCCGAAATCCCCACCCCAACTCCGCCCCTCCCTGTCCCCAGGGGGTACAGGAGGGGTGTGGGGTGTGGCAGGGGCTCAGGGCAGGGAGTTGGGGTGTGGGGTGCAGGAGGGGCGAGGGGTGCGGCAGGGGGCTCAGGGCAGTGGGTTGGGGTGTGGGGTGCAGGAGGGGTGAGGGGTGCGGCAGGGGGTCAGGGCAGGGTATCGGGATGCAGGAGGGGTGCGGCGGGGCTCAGGGCAGTGGGTTGGGGTGCAGGAGGGGTGCGGAGTTTGGCAGGGGGTTCAGGGCAGGGGTGCAGGGTGCGGCGGGGGCTCAGGGAAGGGGGTTGGGGTGCAGGGGGGTGCAGGGTACAGCAGTGGGTTGGGGTGCAGGAGGGGTGTGGCAGGGGGTCGGGGTGCAGGAGGGGTGTGGGGTATGGCAGGGGGCTCAGGGCAGGGGGTTCGGCTGCAGGAGGGGCTTGGGGGGCGGGCTCAGGGTGCCCTGTCCTGCCCTGCCCTGCTCCTGCGCTGCTTCCCGGAGCGGCACGGGGGCAGGCAGGCAGGGAGCCTGCCCTGCCCCCGGTGCGCGTCGGGCCGGAGCCACTCTAGGTTAACGCTGTGGGAGGGCGGGGGGCCGCGAGGAGCTCGTGGCCCGCGTGTTTGAGACCCCTGCACTAAACCTATGGTTTGCCAATTGTAGAAGTTGTGGGGTTTAGGTGCTGTTTTTTTTAACCATAGTTCTGCAATAGTTCATGGTAAAGAAAAGAATCTGCGTAGAATAAACAGTATACCTGCTATTACAATACACAGCTTTTAAGTTGTATTAAATGTAAAACCTTAAAAGTTCAGTATTGGGACTTTCACAGTTCACTTTCATGGGGAATATTGTCAGTTTTCATACACAATATTATGTTGGCTAAATGGCATCTCAAGTAGTTACATTTTACTTACCTAAATGCTCCCTGCACTTTCAAATGGAGAAGTTTTTTCTTCACTTCCTGTCCTGTCCTGCTGCATAAGGTTACTGTGCACTGTTAAATAGTTACTGTGTTCCACTC